AACGACGAACTCGAACGAACTTAAACGAAACCAACGAAACTTTGACATAAACGGACTTGAAGATGACGGAGCAACAAGCTGTGACGGCAGCCATGGCGAAAGAAACGAAGATGAAGGAGCAGCAGCAGTACGAAGCAGTTAGCAGTAGCGCGAAGCAGTAGCAGCAGGCGACGAAGGAGAAGAAGACGCAGCCATAGCAGTGGTGGCGGAGCTGGAAGGAGCAGAAGCTCGTCGAGGGTCGTTTGGCCGCGACGAAGAAAAAGCAACAGGCAGCAGCAGGTGAGGGCTTGTTTGGACGACGCAGGCAGCAACATAAGCAGCATAAGGGACTGTTTTAGGTGGTCGTCCGATATGGTGAGGAGGGGCTACTGTTGAGGCCAACGAAGAAGATGAAGGAGTAGTCATGGCTGCCATGGGAGCTTGAGCTTGAGCTTGACGACGAGTAAGATGAAGGCAGAAGCAGCTGGGTCGTTGATGGGGTTCTGCCCTCGATGAAGAAGAAGAAGAACGACGCAGAAGGAGGTGGTTGTTTGGAGCTCGTTCGATAGATAGGGGGGGTGGTTTGTTGGTTGAAGATGAAAGGAGAGGACAGCCATGAACGAGCTTCGAGCTCGACATGGAGAAGACGAGCTTCGTGGTGGGGTGTGTGTGTATGTGAGTGTGGTGAAGGGGAAGGGATGGCTGGAAAAGGGCAGCCATGGGAGGGGAGCCTGAGGTAGGAGGAGAAAGAGAGGAAGAAGAAGAGAAGGGGGGTGGCAGATGGTTTTTTGTTTTTTTAGGGTCTTTTTGGTTTTTTGTTTTGTTTTGTGTAAGATAGGGGGTGTTGGGTATTTGGGTTATGGACTGGGTCGACCCGATTTGAAATGTACCGGGTGATGGGGAAGGTTGGGTATTTTTTTGGGCTTGTGGCTTGAATTTGAAGAAGAGCCCAATTCCGATTTTCTTTATATTCTGCTTTCTTTTCTTCTTTTATTTTTTCTAAAACTAAATTCTAAAAATCCTTAAATTATTATTAAGTTATAAAAGCGCAAATTAACTCCCAATAACAATTAACGC